CTCCATTTGATGTCTCTCTTTTGGGAACATGCAGAGTAAAACACTGTCTATACAGCATACTCCTAGCAGTAGCTCTGGTGTGATGCAAAATAAAAACAACCTGCCCTACGCCACCAATAAAATGGACACACTATGTTGAATTTTCTACTATACTGAAATTGTGTTAAACATTTAGTCTATTACTAATAATTGATTTTAGATACCCCTTGAAAAACACTCATTTAAATTCTATTTTATTTCTAAAGAGATATTTCTGTCTCAAATAATTCCAATTCATCTAACACGTTTCATGAACATTTAAAAACCCATCCAATCAAAATGATCAGATGTTTCTCAATTTCTTCTAAATGACAAAAAGTTCTAACATAGAATCTGTAAATGAATACTCACAATATCAGTTTAGGAATGAGGGCAGTTACTTTCATGGGCACTATTTATTAACATCATCACCTTTGTTTTCAACACTTACGTCAAGTGAAAAACTCTTACCTTCTTTTAGCAACCCAACCAAATACCCAAAAGCTGAGCAGTCAAACTCATATAACAAAACTACAAAACTACAAATTTACCAATGAAGTAAATGCTTTAAGAAATTCGAGATCCTTTAGGATTCTCCAAAACTATTAATTGATACATCTAATGATGTCACATATATTTTGAATAATTTTTGGATCATGAAAAAAAAATTTCAGTTATAAAGACATTTACATTTTTGAATTTATAAATTCTTTATAAGCAATACTAGTTAATGACAATTTAATAGTTGCCGTGTGATGTTGAACAAATTAGTTAACCTTCTTAAGCCTATATCTTCAATCACAAGATTAGGGTAATATCTACCTTATATGGAGGCAAAACATCAAACAAGATACATATAAAATGCCTAGCATATAGCTGGAGATATAGTCATTTGAAAATCCTTTATATACACACACATACACACACACACACACACACACACACAGAAACATACACATACACTTACACATTTATATTTTTTATATCTAAAGCCAAGTATTCTTGGATGAGAGCAGTGGCTCATGCCTATAATCCCAGCACTTAGGGAGGCCAAGGTGGGCAGATTGCTTGAGGTCAAGAGTTCAAGACTAGTCTGGCCAACATGGGGAAACCCCATCTCTACTAAAACTACAAAAATTAGCCCGGGCATGGTGGTGCGTGTCTGTAGTCCCAGCTACTTGGGAGGCTGAGGTGGGCGAACTGTTTGAACCTGGGAAGCGGAGGTTGCAGTCAGCCAAGATCATGCCACTGCACGACAGCCTGGGCAACAAAGCAAGACTCTGTCTCAATAAAATAAAAAGATTTAAAAATTTAAAAATAAAGCCAAGTATTCTTAAAAGTAGGAGGTGGGGCAAGCAGTAAGGTACACAAATTCTCTGAAAGAGTACTGAAAGTGTATGTAAAACTTTGTGTAGATAAGCTAATGTGTCCTTTCCTGAGGAAACGGTCCACAGTTTTTCATCAGATTCTCAAAGGTGTCCATAACTACCAAATGTCTAAGAGCGTACTTTTCAATAGCCTTGGGCTGTATTTTCTCTATTTCTTAGATTTACACAGTTCATAAAGTTTACTTTGAAGCTCTAGACACAAGTTAAATTTTAATTCACTCAACAGCAACAACAACAACAAAGCTGAATTACAAGTGTAGTCATAGATAAAATACTGGTTTTCCTTTTACCTCTCTTAAAAAAAAAAAACCGTGTAAATTCATTTAGCTCAAATTATCCTCCAACTTTGCCATAAATAAAACGAAGTATCCAAACTTGAAACCAAAGTTTAAAAACCTAAACAAACGAAGAAACAACAGCAGCAGCACAGGCAAACACACAAAAAACTGGGAAATCTGGAATGGACAAGAATTAAGGCCCTACAGCTTGTATAAATCAGAAGGGACGATAATAACAGTAGTCCCTTCTTTGGAGTTAATTTTTTAAATTACTCATTCCCTCATTCTGATTCCAAATTAACAATCTTCACTTCAAATATCTATTATATTGCTTAAAATGAGTGTAATAAGGATACCATATGGTATCACGGAAGAGACCCTACCTTAGGAATCTGGGAAACCAGGATTATAGCCCTGTTCTGTCACCAACGGACTGCCAACAGATGGCTGTACCTCAGTGTTCTATGGCACAATGATTCTACATCAAATCATGCAATCCCAAAGATACTTTCTAGCCCAAGATTGTACTTTATTGCTAAAACGGGAACTTACAAAACAGAGGTCACCTGGAAAGATTTGAGTCTAGGTCTAATGAGAAAAATATACCACTAACAAGAAACATGAATTTAAAGTTCTGTTCCCACTGTCAGGAGCTTCAGGGCATATAAACTCAGAGCATGGTTTTCAGTTAGGGCGACTTAAAACTTCAGCTTAACAAGAATAACACCAGACACCTCTACCATACTGCTTCTTTAAGGTGGACAGTACTTTATAAGAAAGAGTTAACAAAGTATAGATAGACCAAAAAAAAAAAAACCAAAACAAAACAAAACAAAAAAACACAAAACAGAAAAAAAGAGTTTGGTGTATCTTGATATATATAGTCTTATTTTATATTTCATTGAAAAACACCTGTTATGGAAAAAGTAGCTAATTTTAATCAAATTTACTTCTAAACTACCGTTTCCAAAACAAATATTTTTCAATGGAATATAAAAGAAAGCTTTACATACCAGGATACCCCTGTGCTGAAGAAACATTCCTCCCACTCTTGAAAACAAACAAATGCTATACAAATGTTAAGCATTTAATAAGTCTGCCAAATGTATCTCTTAGAATGTATTCCTGCATATTCTAAAAGCTAAGCAATATACCCAAGAGGCAAATTAGCATGGCAAGAGTTTTCTGAAAGGCTGTGATGACTAATATTTCAGGACTAGAACATGATAGCTATTAAAAGAAACATGAGAGGCGTTCTCCTAATTCCTAATAGGCCAATGTCCCCACCACAAGAACTACTACAAACAGCATTCAGGGCTGAATTCACACAGTTTAGTCTCTAAGGCCTAAATGATTTTTCTCAATTTTCTCCCATGTGACCCATTATGTGAATCAAAGAAATCAGTAATTCATTTGTTGAAGGTCAAATATAAGGGCATAATGAGGTCCATGCTGTAAAATGAATAAAGAGAATGAACAAAAAGAAACTGAGATAAACTCTTGTTGAAAACAATGCCCCAGAATGTAACAAATAGTCTAAACATACCTAAAAGACCAGAATAAGATGACATATTAGTGCAGTGACCTCATGACATATACCAAATACTTTCCTCCATGTTAAAAAAATGTTCTTCTAGCATCTGATGTACACATTGAGAAACAACCTCAATATTGACCAAGGTTTTTCAAATGCCTTACCTTATAACTGGAACTTCCAAGCAAAGGCTAATGAGGCCATCTGGGAAAGATGACCAGGAAGCCTTACTACTGCCAATATTTCACATGGAACAATCGATAGCAGGTCTTAACAAGTTAAAGTGCAAAGATTTCAGTCTCCGAATTCATTTTGTAGCATATTTCAACTAGTTAGAAGAGATAAAGATTGGGCCCATAATTTCCTATTTGTATAAGTAGAATTTAAAGATTACTTCCTAAGAATTTAGTCCTAGTTATTTTTGTTGTCCTCAAAACACAGTGTCCCTGTTGGAAGGAATATAAATAAACACACATTTTCATATGGCAATTTGGCATTGCTATCAAAAAATTAATATACGCATGTACTCTTTGATTTACCAATTCCATTTTGAGGAATCCAGTTTATAAAATTTTGGGATGCAAATATAAAAATGCCCACAGATTTCACTGTTTTTATAAAGGTGAAAAATCATACATACATATAGCTGATTAACATGAGTTAGATCCATAAATATTAATGTATGAAGACCTCTAAGACACTGTTCAGTTCAAAAAACAAGTTTTAGAACAAGTATAGTATTTCTTATATAAAAAAATCGTGTGTACATGTTTGTGTGAATAAATGCATGGAAAATGGTCTGAAGGGATTCACGGTAGATAACAGAAGCCACCCTCTAGGGAAGAAGAGTGACCCTTTAAGCAAGAAGAGCAAATCAATGTATGTGGACTGGGGTAGGTTCAAAGAGATGGGTAGTTTTTTAAAAAACTCTTTAAAGAGAGATTTTCACCTTTTACTCCACATCCGCCTGTATTATTTAAACATTTATGTAACACACATAAAATATTTGTTCTTTACAGAAAATACGATGCAACGTCAACTTTTAGCTAAACTCCAGAATCACTTAAAGAGGATGCTCAAAGAGTAAAACAAGCAATAGACTGGGCATATGGTAGTTCACACATATAATCCCAACACTCTGGGAGACTGAGGAGGGTGGATCACTTGAGCCTAGGAGTTTGAGATCAGCCTGGGCAACATAGTGAGACCTCTCTACAAAAATTAAGAAAATTGGCTGGGTGTAGTGGCACACGCTTGTAGTCCCAGCTACTTGGGAGGCTATGGCGGGAGGATCAGTTGCGCCTGGGAGGTCCACTTGCGCCTGGGAGGTCAAGGCTGCATGATCCATGATCATGCCACTGCACTCCACCCTGAGTGACAGAGCAAGATCGTGTATCTTAAAAAAAAAAAAACAGAGAGAGAAATAAGGAATATTGGCAGTCAAAAACATTCTTTGTAGACTATACCCTTCAAAAGAATAAAGAAAAATCATAGGCAGCATCAATCAACAGTTATAAAAGAATATGACACTGTTTTCATGAAAGAACAAGCATCTTTCAGAGAACTAAAGGACGTGTATCTTAGAAGTTAAAGAATATAAAAGATACTGAACTCAAAAACATTACTAAAAAGATGTAATCTTTCCAAATATTTTTTAGAGATACAATTTTAACAATGAATCCTATTATTTTGGTGCAAAACGTACACTGTGTGGGTATGCTTTTTTTATTTAAAAAACTGTTATGCATAAAGAGCTAAATGGTGTAAAGTATTTACTCTTACCTGTACATTTTCTTCTGTAACCTGAATTTCTGCAGTGTAAACGTAATCAATTAGCATCCTCAGGGTCCAGCCATCTACCTCTTTTATTCTAACTCTCTTTGCTCGGCTTTCACTCATCTCACCTAAAACACAAAGAAACAAGAGTGATGTTACAGCAAGACACTGCTGTGGAAGTTCTAGTGCTAATACAGATCGATACATCTTCTTGCCACTCACTGTACTCAACAGGCAGCATAATCAGCCACTTTTTGCAGGCTGAAAACACTCCCCCTTCTCTTTCAAAAGCTTACCTAAGCAAATCATAAAATGTACTTTTGTTACCCATTTGTACTTGAAAATCATATCACAACAATGAATGTGCCATATGTCTAGCTGTATAAACTATTCTTGTGGCTGTAGGATCAGTAACTGAGGCTGTTCCTGCTTTGGGGCATTTGTTGTCTTTATGGATTTCTAGCCACAACTAGAAGAGTAGCCACATTACTGCCTTTGGCTAATGGCAATGAATGTCTGCTGAAAAGGACCCACCTGGTTAGCGTTACTCCTTCAACTAACATACAGATGCCTGTTGGGGCATGCAAGGCCTGCACAGACACAGAGGCTCCACCCTCAGTGAGAGGTCACAACCCTCATGCAGGAGACAATGAGAAAACAAATTACTTATGATGCGGAGGGAATGCAAGGCAAAAGAGGAATCACATGCGAGTTAAGTCAGTAACAAAGCTTGTTACAGATATCTTCTAGCTCAGGTTCAGTTCCTGCTTGTCATCTGCAGCAACTGCATGCTGAAGTCATTTCCATACCAGCTTTATTACTAAAACCAGGTATGCTTCTACAAAACTGCCAGCTAAAAAAAACAGTACAAGATTTCCTTCCTAATACCTACTTGTGGAAAGAAATAGGGAAGGAGAAAAGAGAAGGGATGGTCCCTAAGCCAAAGAGACTTGGGAGAATAGGAGGTAGGTTTAAGCACCTAGGTGTGGACCACGTACTATGATACAAGGAGACACAAGAACTGAATGGGGGTGGGGAGGAATTCAATTAAAAAGGCAGTCGGCCCAGGTGGTGGCTCACACATGTAATCCCAGCACTTCAGGAGGTCAAGGTGGGCGGATCACCTGAGGTTAGGAGTTCGACACCAGCCTGACCAACATGGAGAGACCCCATCTCCACTAAAAATACAAAAATTAGCCAGGCGTGGTGGCACCTGACTCTAGTCCCAGCTACTCGGGAGGCTGAGGCAAAAGAATTGTATGAACACAGGAAGTGAAAGTTACAGTGAGCCCAGATCTTACCATTGTACTCCAGCCTGGGCAATATGAGCAAAACTCCTTCTCGAAAACAAATAAAAGAAAAAAAAAACAGGGCAGTCCAAGAGTAATGCTGAAGGCCATGGGAAAAAAAGATTCGGCTCTAGAATTCACTAGGTTTTAAAGATAAAAGAAGCATGAGAACATGCCACCATTTATCACCTTCACTTTAACCTAACATCTACTGTTAAAAAATAACATGGCCTCAAGATTTCTTGAAAGCTCACTTCTTTTTCAGATACAATGCACTGTCAGCGACCACAAACTATCAGAAGAGTCTATGGAAAATCATAATTACACAAAATTCCTTTGTAAACACAAACCCTGGGAGAAGAGAAATAACAATAGTGGTATACTTTTAACGCTGTGCTTCCCTGGAGATTATCTCTGACAAGATCTCAGACAGAAACTGTTCACCTCAGGGCTAAAATAGCTCAAAAACTACCCTGCTACTTCCCAGGAAGAAAAACACCTCTTTGTATTAGGAGAGTTAATGAGAAAGATGTACCTACACCTACATAGCAGGAAAAAAAGAGGACTGATTACATGTCTGTTGCTACAGCAAATGTTTTTCCCCTGCTTGCAGAAGGTGGGAAAAAGGGAGGTCAAGGAATATAGAAAAATAAGTCTTCATCCGCATATAAGGAGCCTTCCCCTATCCTATTCTTCCTGGATCCTATGGCTAGTTGGGGTCTGTATAATCTGAAGACTCTTTTGTGCTAAAAGTTAAGACATTCTAGTGATTCCCACTTGGACTTTAGACAAAAGCCATAACCAATTCATCTACAGGGCCCCAATAATATGCAAAGCCCTTCAGGGCCTGGGGTAACATGAACACAAAGCCACGTAGCCAGTACTCAGTTAGGCGTGACTTAGCTTATCACTGAAAAATAATTAGTCCTCTGCCAATAAGATGCGTTTTGTTAGTTCAAATATTTACATGTCATTTTTAAGATTATTTTTCTCCCCAGAAAACTGTATTTGCTTCCAATGAATTCAATCTCAATTATATATTGTTTTGAAAATGTTTTAATCTATTTTATATTAATTTACAAAAACAGAAAAAAACTTGCTCATGATTGCATTAATGGTTTAAAAATTCTAATTACTATGAATCAAAGCACATACTAAAGAGAAGTGTAAAAGTTATTTATATCTGTTTTCAGTTGTTACATATTACCTTAGTTATTGCCCTTTGCTGTGTTTTTAAAGGGAATCTTTAAACAGTATGGTTTCGTGAGATTTATGTTTGATAATGCATTTTTAAAACTATCCAGTGAGAGTCCGGTGCTGTGGCTCACTCCTGTAATCCCAGCTACTAGGGAGACTGAAGCAGGAGGATCACTTGAGCCCAGGAGTTTAAGACTAACCTGGGCAATATAGCAAGACTCTGTCCGATTTAAAACAAACAGGATAAAAAGTTAGTCTATCCAATGATACTGTATATAGTTTATCCTTACCATTTGTAACTTCCCATAGTCTCTACAGAGAGTAGAGTTTCTTGTTTATGTTTTGATCACATAACTCTGAAGCTATAAAAGGACTCTGAAGCTGCATTACACTATCCACACAAACACCTATGTTAAAAACCTAAGTGAGAGTCATCCTTGACTCTCTCCTCTTCCTTACCCACCAATCCCACAGTTCACCAAAACTTGCAGAATTAACCTTGGATAGATCTCAAATAAATCTTCTCACCTTCTTGCCATTGGGGATCCTATAATCTCTTGCTAACACCAATGAAGCAACGTCCTAATTCTTTCCCTGCCTCCAGTATTGACTCCACAAATCTGACCACGGAGCTCAAAAATCCTTTGGTTTCTCCCAGTCCAAGCACACATGTCCAGCCTTTGATTCACTGTCTAGCCTTCTCTCTCTCTCTCTCCCCCTTTCCCCCACCATTTCTAAACTTGAAATACATTAATAAGAAGCTGTTCATTGTTTTCTATAGATACCAAGCAATGTCTTACCCTGATGCTGTTGTTGAGCACTGTCCTCTCTGTCACCCCACCCACTCATTTCCCAGGCTAATCTATACTAGAACCTCTCTAGGCAGACTTATCTGTTGGTGACCCAAGGCTGGATTAATGCTCTTGCTCTAGGGACACTGGGGTGCCTCAAGCAAATCCACTCTGTAGTAATCAACTCTTTACCTAGTTGTCCTCTGAATTCTTCTTGAACTCCTAACCTGAGGTGATCCACCCACCTTGGCTTCCCAAAGTGCTAGGATTACAGGCGTGAGCCACTGCGCCTGGCATTCCTCTGAATTCTTAAGCCCTAAGAACTGGGATGAAGCCTTTCTTATGTCTGTATAATATGCCTCACATATGATAGATATTCCAATCAATACTGGCTGGATAAGTAAATGACTAGATGAATAAAAAGTAAAGCAAGTGCCAATTTAAAATGTAGCATTTTGGCTGGACGAAATGACTCACGCCTGTAATCCCAGCACTCTGGGAGGCCGAGATGGGTGGATCATTTGATGTCCGGAGTTTGAAACCAGCCTGGCTAATGTGGCAAAACCCTGTCTCTACTAAAAATACAAAAATTAGCCAGGCATGCTGGTATGTGCCTGTAATCTCAGCTACTTGGGATGCTGAGGCAGGAGAATTGCATGAACCCGGGAGGTGGAGGTTACAGAGGGCCAAGATCGCACCACTGCACTCCAGCCTAGGTGACAAAGCAAGACTCTATCTCAAAAAATAAATAAATAAAAATAAAATACGGCATTTTTACTTAACATAATTAGTGGCACTTTAAAATTAGTCTTAAACATGGATATTCTAGTTATGAAGGATTTCATGCAACAAACATTTATTGAACATCATGGTCTCAAACTCATGGCCTCAAATGATTCTTCCGCCTTGGCCTCCCAAAGTGCTGGGATTATAGGCATGAGCCACTGCACCCAGTCTCATATCTACTTTTATTGAGAAAAGGAGGGAAGTCCTCCAAATCACAAAAGTGTAAAAACATATATATGGCTGAAAACATTTCCCTCTTACATGCCTGTAGTCCCAGCTACTCGGGAGACTGAGGCAGGAGAATCACTGGAACCCAGGAGGCAGAGATTGCAGTGAGGCCAGGTTGCACCACTGCACTCCAGCCTGGCGACAGAGCGAGACTCCATCTCAAAAGAAAAAATTCCATCTCGAGGACCTTTAATCAGGGCTCCTGAAGCCCAACATAAACTGGTAACTTCACTTATCCATTATGACATGAATTTATCCAATGAATAAATGAAAAGTGAATAGGTTTAAAAAGACAAATGCTAAAATTCATTTCATTTTTAAAATTCTATGATTCTAATTTCAGTTATTTAGCACATGAAAAATCTGAAAACAAAAACAAAAAACAAAACAAAAAACCAAAACACCATAAAAGTGTAATACAGAAACTTTGACTATGCTGAAATCCTAAGAAATAAATAACAAAGTTATAGCTACATTTAATAAATTTTATGCCATTACTTTGCAAGTTTCACTTGTCATCTACTCTAATCACTATCATCCTTTTGTTCGTGGGTTACAAAGCAGTTGCTGACACACAGGCATTTTTTGGCAAGCTGACCCAGGTGCCCCAACAGCCACTCTCTACGGTGGTCAGGGTACGTAACTCTCCAGTTCTACAGCAAATCTAATGCCATCATGGTAACTGCATTGCCCTGCTAGTTTTGGTCTGGTTTGGGTAACTTCTGAGAAAGGATTCTTAGCTCCTAAAAGAGAGTCCTCCTTCCTTGAGATGTGGGGTCCACTCTTGCAAGCATCTTTCATTTTAGGAGGGGAACAAACCATAGGATATTTTTATTGAGGATAGCAGGGTAGAGAGACAGAAGGAAGAAGATTCTTGATGAAATTCTCAAGCTGTAGATCCAATCATGTTTGGTGCCCAGCCTACTTTCTTACTATTTAAACCAGTTTGAGTGAAGTTTTCTGTTACAAGCAGCCTAAAATACTCCAACTTAAGTTCTTTGTGTACCATTCTATTTAATTATTTTCAGAGCCATCATCAATACCAGAAATTATCTTTTCTTTGTGTGTTTACTTACTGTCTAATCTTTCTTCTTCTTCCTAACTAGAATCATGAGAACAGAAACTTGTTTTATTCATCACTATAAGTCCCAAAGCCTAGGACAATGCCTACCAGAGAAGATGCTCAATAAATATTCCTTGGTGAACAAAAGCATGAATCTTAGATAAACATAACCATGTATACAGCTATTTAAAGTATCACTTCTTAATCACACAAACAATAATCTGTCTTTTCCTACTCTATTTTACTGAATCATGTTCAATATGACAAAAGAAATCAAAAAGTACACCAAAAAAAAGACTAAGAATAAAAATTCAGGATTCAGTACTTCCCACCAGATTTCAGAAATGTTAGCCTGTGGCACAAATAAATCTCAGAAGTATTTGTTAAGCAAACAGCTTTCTAAATGTCACATTTGTAACCAACAAGTAATCTAAAAACACAGGAACCCAAGATGGTATGTTCTTTCTTAAGTAATAAACAACCTGGCCTTGCTCTAAATAGGCCCATACTTCACAAAGTAAAACCCTGTGACTACATCACAAATTACTTTTCACTTCCCTTCTTTACTCAAATACTCAGAACTATGATGAGTAACATAATTATTTCTTAAGTGATATCATTTAAATGAAAAATTCACCTACAGTTTATGAGATTAAAAGAGTCAACAAAAAACATCTGCATATTCCCCATTTCCTAGATAGTCACAGGAAAACAAAAGAAGAGTAGGGCAACTCCCTGTCCCTGAGCAAGAGGATGAAAATGTACATGATGTTTGGTGGAATGAAAGCATCCAATGGTCTACTTGTTAGCCTCACTACAGATTTTACCA